TTTAAGAGATGAAATTATTAACTATTAGCAAAATAATTAAACTAATTAAGCAAAGTAAACTTGTCGAGGAAAATTCAATGGGAGAAAGCTCTGGGAGAAACACCGGGATTCACTACCTATCCTATCCAGATTAATTCACATATTCCAATCAATTTAATCCATACCTCTACAGCCAGGATATCACTACTGTGCTAGCTATCCCTGTCGGGAATTACTACGTACTAAATAATCAATTCAAATCCTACTGTCGTAGCTCAATGAATTAACTATATAGCCTGAAGATCGATATCCTATTTAAGACCGCATAGCACCTTATTTAATCCACTGTCGCTTCGATAAGTTACTATGTCACATGAAATAGGTTCAGTTATTAGGGTTTCACTGTCGCTAATAACCTAATCAACTACGATTCATTGTATTGGTGGCCAGTCAACACAAAGCATTAAGAAATTTCATGCAATAGAGATAGGAAGAAAAGAATCATGAATAATCCATCAAATCAAGAAATAGCTACATCCTATGGTGTTTCCCCCAGAAATTGGGGTTTAGTTCATGACGAAATTAAGATAAATCGATAGGGTTTTGTTCATCATGTTCTAAATCAACAATACACAACTAGTTAGGTTCAGAAAATCCAACCAACTAATCGCTCTCGTTGAATTCAGCTCAAGCCTTGAAGAACTGATCGCCAATTGTCGATCCGCTCCTGCTGCCCGCTGCTGCTTCTTTGCTCCGCTTTTTCAATTTCTTTCTCCCTGTGAATTTCCGCCCACCTCTACAGCCAACTCAAGAAAAGTCCCCCCAGTTAAAATAAAATGCCGCCGCCTTTAATTCCCCTCGTCCCCTCCGAGAATTTCGGTTCCTTTGCCTCTTCTTCCTTTTTCAATTATTCCTCCCCCCCAGCAATTATCTGTCCGCCCAAAGATTCCAAGTCCCCAATTAATTATGGCCTCCAAATCCACTTCTTAATTCCCCAAGCCAATTCCATGTCCAACTCCAAATTAACAGCAGCCTCCAATCACCATACCTTCGGCCCAATTCTCCTCTTCCCAAACAAGTCCAATTCCGCTGCATTAATTCAAAGTCCCATCAATGTGGGCTTTGGCCCAATTACTTGTTGTGGAAGAAATATGGATCCAATTCCTCCCGCCATCTCCTGCTTCGGAAGTTCCAGTGCTACCATTTTATCTATCTTTTCACCTAAACACACACCAAAACTCCAACACAAAATGGTAATGGCTTTTCAACCATTACAGATTAATTCTCCCTAGAATAACATCAATCGGCTTAAACATACCATGAGATAGTCACATAAAACTCATGAATCCGATATATTAAAGCCGAATATCACAACCCCACACTCAATTGTTGCTTGTCCCTAAGCAACGACTCAAACAACACAAACACATAACCAACCATAACAATGACACACCACAGACTCACTAATCAAACACTCAAACAAAACAAAATTTTCCTTGTACTCTTGTTGTAATCAGTAGTTTCTTTCTCAACGGATAAGTTGTGCTCTAATGGTCATACCTTTCACCCCACACTCAAGTTCTTTGCAACCATTACCATTGACTGACTCAAATCCACCAAAAACTCAAATAGCAACACTCAATTTCGATCGTCAGTAGTGGGTGATTAACAACTTATGGTGCAGCAATTATTAGGAGAATCTAACCACATCAGTGAGGTGCATATCTCGTGAGGATAGTCTGGCTTACTCACACCAAGCATAAGCAATTAATTAAGCATGAGTCTAAAAAACTAATGGGGGAAGCTTTTCGCAAACATGATTTTACTTTAAGCACATCACTACCTTTTATGACAAGGAGAGGCTTTCTCTCTTTCTGCTTTTGCTTGCCGAGAATTCGTATTTAGTACAAGTGGGATTTGTTTCTTACTACCTATGACCGAGCAAGAGCAATTTCTGCTTCTTAGCACTCGCATAAGGGCTTCTTTTAACTCCTTATCCTCGGTCCGTGTGGAGGGTCATTGCATCCTCTAATGGCACTTCACTCAACTGGGGATCGTACTTGATAAGCAACATCGTACGGTCGCGAACCGATTCTCAATTGAATCTTTCCTCATCCCCATGTGCAATGAGTGATTGCCTCACACGATTTTGGCATTTTTTACCCACACTTTAATTGTTATGGCAACTTTCTTATCTTTTACTTGTCAGGTAGTGTTTTTTCTTTATATAAAGATACAGTTCACCCCATCATAAAACATTCAAAACAGAGAGACTCATTGCAAAATCAAAAGCTCACAATTGATGCAAGTAAGCACGGTATCCAAACATATCGAATGGTCAATGTTCTCCACCTAACTACTTCACCAAAAGTCATTGCACTATCCTACAAAAGAGAATGTTGCTAAAAGACTTGCTCATTCAAAGCATATCAAGTCAGTCAAAACATTCAAGCTCATTGTGAAGAACTATGCAATTCAACACTAGTGGGGTGATTTTGATGATTTCATTCAAGCACAAACTCGTTTTCAAGGCATCACATTCATTTACATCATGTTACCACAAGAGTACAAGGTTTTGTTTTTGATTTTTCTGATTTTTAGGTGTTTTTTAGCCATTAGATTAACACAGGCAGCTTGCTTTTTACACAGGCAGACTGCTTTTTACACAGGCAAACTGCATGCAGTTTGGCTGTGCTCAACCTAATGGCAATTTTTTGTTTTTTGTTTTTTGTTTTTTGACGATATACACATGACGAGACACTGTGGACAACTAAGACTCGACATAAAACACGACAAGAACACACACCATCCACCCCACACTCAGGATGGACATTGTCCACAATGTCTACAACTACACACGACACACCAATCGGTTCACCTAACTAACATTATACAGACCATCATCAGAAGTATTCACAAAGAAAAGAAGAAAAGAAGAAAAAGAAAAGAAAAAGAACCTCGGGACAAGCTCCTATGGAGGAGGGGTCGATGCAGGAGTGCCGAGCTTCTCATCTAGACGCCGGTTTAGCTCCTGGATCTTCTTATCTTTCTCTGCGTCTCTGGCTTCCAAGAGAGCTATTCTGGCTCTGAGCTCGTCTGTAGATGATGGTGAAGCTGGTACGACTGGTGGAGTATCTTCTGGATGCAGAACTGGAGTAGGATGGGACTGCTGGCCCTGGCTGACACTCGAGTCCGAGTGTCCCGCTGCTGTGGGTGTAGGAGCTGGAGCTGTGGTCAGAGTGGCTACTGATGGTGCGGCAGATGATGTCGAAGCAGAAGTTGCTCTAGCAGCTCTTGCTTCCCTTTTCCGATTGACCTTGGTCTCCCACTCCTTGTATTTGGCGATAGAAAGATACTCTCCACGAGAACCTACTTTCCTCAGAAAACCCAATTTGCCTAATGTTGCTTCCCCAAGCAGAGTCGAGCCATCACTGATCTCTAAACCCGTAGGGTTCTCCGGGAACCCCCAGTAAGCTCGAGCTAAGGCAGTAATGATTCCCCCACACATAATTGCTCCACAAGTCTTCAGTGCATCATTTTCCAGCATCTTACCCACCATGTACCCAACACACAATGGTGTTCCAGTAACAAAACTGTGAATGTACCTGAGATCGGTGGTGTAGACACCACTGGCATTGGATCCCTTTCCCAAGACAGTGCGATCCAGGTAGTCATGTACTAGTGGGATTATCGGGTCTCTGATCGATGCTCTCCTCGAAGTAGTAGGATTGAAGTCCTTTCCATCTGCCACAATTGTCGTCCAAAACTCACTCAAGTCCTGCTTTTCATCAGGAATTGCATCTGCTGGACCATCGAAGAGAAGTGCTCGGTTTACTTGGCTCAAAGAGAGGGACTTTGTTTTCCCGGCCAAAGTACTCTGAAGCTTGCTCTCAACCCCATTATCCTCGAAGCTGTAGGTGGCCAAGAATGCTCTGGTGAGGTGTGGATAGGTGGGGAAGTGCAGCTCCGGAAATCGTGCCCAATTCATTCGGCGGAAGTATGTCATCACTTCCTCAGCCCGCTCGGTCTTCTGCAATGCTACATAGTCCATGAACTGAGAAGGGGTGACCGCTCGTTTCATCAGATCGGCATATTCGTCCTTATGTTTCTGGAGCTGGACAGGCTGACCGAACGTCTTAGAGACGTCCTTTGGAGGAGGAGTGCCAGCCTTCTTCTTGCTTGCACTTAGGCTAGTACGACGTGGTGTCGTGGATGGTGCAGGTGCTGTAGAAGAAGAGATCTGTGATCGTGAAGATGAGCTCGGTTGCTGGAGACGACTCCTCTTCGCTGGCCTGCTCTCTGGTGATACAACTGGTGTTGTATCTGGTAATGGAGGTTCTTCAGTAGGCATTTGAGCAGGCTGCTGTGGTGGAGATGGAGTTGGAGAAGTCATCTCAATAGTCTTGGACCGCATCGTGGGTCCAACCTGGCCGGTGATCACCCTGTAAAATCGAGCGGGCATGTTGACCGCTTGAAGTTGTGGAGGAACTTCTGTAATTGGGCTGTCTCTATCGGTCACCTTGTGGCTGTCTTCAATCATCCACGAACGGTAAACAGTCTTCCCATCTTCACTTTGATCTGTTACCTTGAACTGCCGAGGTGGAGGGATATACCTTCGACGTCCCATATCTGCAACCAAGAGTGCAAACTGGAAAACAAACTTCTTATACCTCCCCTCTGCTCTTGAATCAACAAGTTTGCACAAATCTGTGCTCTGCTTCCCAAATTCCAGTTCACTGCTACCACAATCAGAAAATCTCCAAATTCTTCAACCCTCAAATCAACCAATTCTCAAGATTCATCCATAAATCTTCTGCAAATATTCTTCTAGACAGTAATTGCACTTCAATTGGCCAATCAAGCAATCATCACACTCCAATTTCACCTCAAATTCGAAATTGAGCAAAAACCCCCAATCTGAAGAACCCTAATTTTTTTCTGTTCTTGATTCTTCAATTGCTAGGTTTTTTTTTTTTTTTTTTTGAATCAAACCTCGGATTAAGGGGGTGAATTGAGGCGGTATGGGGCAGGGAGGGCGGCGGCAACCGACGGAGACGACCGCCGGAGATGGTCTCGCGGCGGACGAGCGTGGCGGCGGCGGCGGGACTTGGGTTGCTGGTCGCGACGCTGAGGAACAATGGCGACGCGAGGTGAGGGGGCGCTGCGGCTGGGTCTCCGGTGGGGCCGGGACGGGTGACGCGGCGGCTGTGGTGGAGATGTTGGCGGCGCGGGTGCTGCTGGCGGGAAGGGTGGCCGGCTGAGTTGCCGGCGCGCTGCGGAGAGCAGCTCTGCTTCTGCTGTTCGACGGGAAGAGGAGAAGGAAGGGGAAGGGGAGGGGAAGGGCAGCAGCCTAACCCCGACTCTGTGCTTTGCGTTTTGTTTTTTTTTGTTTTTTTTTGTTTTTTTTTAAAATCCGAATCCGAAACGCTGTGCTGCTGTCGGATTTTTTTTTTTTTTTTTTAAGAGACACGGAATTTCTCCTTTTTAGTCCCCCCTTCCTTCTCAAAATTGTCAGATCAGTCCTCCCCCCACAAAACTTTCAGATTAGTCCTCCCCCTACATTTGCGGTTTGCCTGTGCTCATTTTGCGGCCTCCCTGTGCAAAAAAACATTCTGCCCGTGTACCTACAAAACACAAAATAATACCTTCCTCAAGGCTTTTTGAGCTGAATTTCGGCGGAGAGCCTCTAGACACACCCTAAAACTAAAAAATGAAAAAAAATTGAAAGAAAAACTCACCTTGGGTTGCCTCCCAAGAAGCGCTTGTTTTGCGTCGCTAGCTTGACGTAAAATAGCTCATTCCAGATGATATGTTGAGATTTCCAGGACGGAAACCCCTTCAATATAGTGCTTGAGCCTCTGACCATTCACCTTAAACGCCCCTTGATCACCAAGAATCTCAATTGCACCATGTGGGTACACTTTGGTCACCATGAATGGTCCGGACCACCTTGACTTCAACTTTCCAGGGAAAAGTTTAAGGCGTGAATTGAAAAGTAATACCTTCTCTCCCACCTTGAACTCTCTTCTCAGTATGTGGTGATCGTGCCACTTCTTGGTTTTCTCCTTATAAATCCGGGCATTTTCATAGGCGTTAAGCCTAATTTCATCGAGCTCATTCAGATGCAACAGGCGCTTCTCTCCAGCAGTTTTTAGATCAAAGTTCAGCTTCTTGATAGCCCAATACGCCTTATGCTCGAGCTCGACGGGCAAGTGGCACGCTTTTCCAAACACCAATCTGTATGGAGACATGCCTAAAGGAGTCTTGAAAGCAGTCCGGTATGCCCAGAGTGCATCATCTAACTTCCTTGCCCAATCTTTCCTTGTTGAATTCACTGTCGTCTCCAGAATGTGTTTCAGTTCTCTGTTGGAAACCTCCACTTGCCCACTGGTTTGTGGATGATAGGGTGTAGCAACTCGATGCTTAACCCCATATCTGGCCAGCAACGTGTTCAACTCCTTTCCCATGAAGTGTGTGCCCTCGTCACTGATGAGAACTCGAGGGACTCCGAATCTGGTGAACACGTTCTTCCTCAAGAAATTCACCACCGTCTTTGAGTCATTGGTGGGCAACGCCACTGCCTCCACCCACTTGGATACATAGTCGACTGCGACTAAGATATATTTGTTGTTGAAAGACGGTGGGAATGGCCCCATGAAATCCACTCCCCATACATCAAACATCTCTACCTCCAAAATCGAGGTCTGCGGCATCTCCATCCTTGCAGATATGTTCCCTGTTCTTTGGCACCTATCACATTGAGCAACAAAATCACGGGCATCTCGAAATAGAGAAGGCCAATAAAATCCAGATTGTAAGACCTTTGCTGCTGTCCTATGAGGTCCAAAGTGGCCTCCTGCGGCCATACTATGACAGAAATTTAGCACTGACTTTACCTCACATTCAGGAACACATCGTCTTACCATGGTATCAGCACAATGCTTATACAGGAAGGGGTCTTCCCATATATAATTCTTGGCAATAGTAATCAACTTCTTGCGCTGTTGATAAGACAAATCAGGGAGCTTACCTGTGGCGAGATAGTTCGCAAGATCTGCATACCAGGGAGCTTGTTGGACAAGGAGAGCGTAAAGCTGCTCGTCTGGAAAAGACTCATTGATCTCAACCTTGTCCTTAGGAATGGCCTCAAGCTCAAGTCTAGAAAGGTGATCGGCGACCAGATTAGCCGAACCTTTCTTGTCCCGAATTTCAACGTCGAATTCCTGCAAAAGAAGAACCCAACGAAGCAATCTCGGCTTGGCCTCCTTCTTTGAAAGAAGGTGCCTTATAGCTGCATGGTCAGTGTACACAACTGTTTTCGATCCCATCAAATAAGATCGAAATTTATCAAAAGCAAACACCACAGCAAGTAGTTCTTTCTCAGTAGTGGAATAGTTCAATTGTGCATCATTAAGAAGCTTACTTGCATAGTACACCGCATGTAACTTACCTTCCTTCCTCTGCCCCAAAACTGCCCCGACTGCATAGTCGCTAGCATCACACATAATTTCAAATGGCAAAGTCCAGTCGGGTGCAGTGATAATGGGGGCAGAGGTTAACTCCTTCTTAAGTCGATTGAAGGCCTGCAAACACTCATCAGAGAAGTTAAACACAGTATCTTTGGCCAACAAATCACATAAAGGCCTGGTGATCTTTGAGAAGTCTTTAATAAATCTCCGGTAAAAACCGGCATGACCTAAAAAACTTCTAATTCCTTTTATTGTGCTGGGAGGGGGAAGTTTTTCTATGATTTCAATCTTAGCTTTATCAACTTCTATCCCCCTCGCCGAAATTCGATGACCAAGCACTATACCTTCTGTCACCATGAAGTGACATTTTTCCCAGTTCAAGACTAGATTAGTCTCTTCACATCTCTGCAAAACTCTAGACAAGTTAGCCAAGCAATGTTCAAAGCTAGTACCAAAAGTCGAGAAGTCATCCATGAAAACTTCAAGACTCGATTCTAACATGTCAGAGAATATGGCAGTCATGCACCGCTGAAAGGTTGCTGGTGCGTTACATAATCCAAAAGGCATTCTACGATATGCAAAAACACCAAAAGGACATGTAAAAGCAGTTTTCTCTTGATCCTCCGGTGCTACTGGGATCTGAAAATAACCAGAGTAACCATCTAGGAAACAGTAGTGAGAATGACCCGCCAACCGTTCGAGCATTTGATCAATAAAAGGAAGAGGGAAGTGATCCTTTCGGGTCGCCTCATTCAACTTCCTATAATCTATACATACTCTCCAGCCCGTAACAGTTCGGGTAGATATCATCTCATCCTTATCGTTTCTCACCACTGTCATTCCTCCCTTTTTAGGGACAACATGCACGGGACTAACCCAAGTACTATCAGAGATAGGGTAAATAATACCTGCATCCAATAGCTTCATTACCTCTTTATGCACTACTTCTTTCATGTGCGGGTTTAGTCTCCGTTGTGCCTGGACGGAGGGCTTGGACTCCTCCTCTAGAAGTATCTTATGCATACAAAATGTTGGACTAATGCCTTTGATGTCGGCAATTGTCCAGCCTAAAGCCTGTATGTGCTGGCGTAAGACCTTCAAGAGCTCCTGTTCCTGCGAATCAGTCAGTGTAGCAGAAACAATCACAGGTAAAGTGGAGTTTTCCCCCAGATATGCATACTTAAGGTGACTAGGCAATGGTTTTAGTTCCAATTCCGGAGGCTGGATCCGAGATGGAACCATTTTCTCTGGAAACTTAGCCTTTTCATCACCTTCCACCTGCATAGGCAATGCCTCGAGCGTTTGTGCCCTCTTTGACACGGTTAGCTCATCAAGTTCATTATCAGAATCATCAAACTCAGATTCAGCATCATAATCATTGTTCAAAACAGCATCAGTGCATGATTCTATGACATCCACAACAAACACATCACTAGAGTCGTTAGGGTACTTACTTGCATGGTATACATTGAATTTTACCTCTTCCCCACAGACTCTGAATGTCAGCTCGCCCTTTTGGACATCTATGAGAGCACCCCCCGTCGCTAGGAAGGGTCTCCCAAGAATGAGAGGTACTTCCCTGTCCTCCTCCATCTCCAGAATGACGAAGTCGGCGGGGAAGATGAACTTTCCCACCTTCACTAGCACGTTCTCCACCACGCCTTTGGGAATTTTTACTGATCGATCAGCCAATTGGAGTGTGATCCGAGTAGGTTTAAGAACATCTCCCAATCCCAATTTCTTGTAGACTGAGTATGGCATCAAATTAATTCCTGCTCCAAGATCACAAAGTGATTTATTGAATTCTGTACCTCCAATGACACATGGAATGGTGAAGCTGCCCGGATCATCCCTCTTTTATGGTAATTTATTCTGAATCACAGCACTACATTCAGAAGTAAGGGTTACCTTCTCCAGATCAGCCCATTTGCGCTTCTTTGTCAGCAACTCCCTTAAGAATTTAGCATATGCAGGCATCTGTTCAAGTGCCTCCGCCAAGGGTATGTTAATCTGAAGTTGCTTGAAGATATTCACAAATTTCTTGAAGTTTGGGTCTTCCATGGGCTTCATTAACCTTTGAGGGAATGGCGCGGGAGGTTCATAAGGCTTTACCTCTTCATTCTTCAATTTTTCCACTTTTTGAGGTACACGGGCAGCATGCTTTTGCACAGGCAAACCGCTTTCATTTTGCCTGTGCAAGGCTGATTCTTCATTTTCTGCACAAGATCTTTCTCCCTGTGCTTCCTCTTCTGCCTCTGGTGCCTTTTTCGAGCTGCTAGGGTCTTCTAAGGCCTTACCACTCCTCAATGTCACTGCCACAACTTTAGCATCTTTTGGATTCCTCTCGGTATTAGCCGGTAATGTCCCAGGAATCCTGCCCTGCATATCCGCCAGAGTTTGAGCCATCTGCCCCATCTGCCTCTCCATAGCTAGCATAGAAGATTGTAAATTATTGTTGATGGCTAGCTGTTGAGTGACAAACTGATCTAGGCCCTTCAGATTATTGTCGGTTTTCTGCATGTGAGCCAGAAGCAATTCTTCAAGTTGCGGTTTCTTCTCTGGTTGAGGTGGAGGTTGTTGTTTCTGCATGCCTGGAGGTGGATTGGTGCGAGCACCATTTGGGTTGTTGTTTGCCCAGGAAAAGTTAGGATGCTTCCTCCATTGTGGGTTGTAGGTATTCGAATACATACCACCCTGGCCTTGATTTCTCTGATTGTTGATATAGTGCACATCTTCCACCTGATCAGCCACCAGTGGACATAGATCCCTATGATGAGCACCTTCACATAACT